AAATATGAAAACATAATGGCAACGAAAGAAGCAAGCAGAAAATTCGAAAATCTCGATCGGAAATAATTCGCGAAACAGCAAGGCATAGAAAATACCGAAAACTGCATGATTACAATAAGTGAGTTAGCTTCGAATGTTTTCGCAACGAAAAGTATTCAAACAGGAGACGCTGAAGCTTTGGGAAATCGGAGCTATACGATGAAACTCTGGATTTTCCCCACACATCTGGCATATAGAGCTCTTATGCTGTCAACAGAAAATACGTCCTCCGATTTTCCCCACATTGACAGAAAATAAAAATAACCGGACTAGTCAGTAAAAGCGCGATATGAACCTTTCACTTCTCACGCCCCAGAGTAATAAACGAACCTTTTGCTGGGCGATACTGGCGGCTCGATTCGCCGTTTCAACAGCAGCTTCGACTCGTTCCTTGAGTTTACTGCTTCGCACAAACAGCATGCCTTTCCGTCGACTTGACACCACCAACACATTGTTCTTGTACTTGCCCTCTTCACGACTGAAATTAGAAAGGTGAGAGGTATGGTTCCTAGCGATGCGTCAGGTGGAGGCGTTCTCGCGCATGTACGTTTGGGCGAGCGCCAGCACGTGCCCACCAGCCCTTGCCACTACGGGGCGTGGGCCGCTCATGAAAAAAGGCCTGGCGCCCTGCCAAAACGTGTGCACATGGGGACGCCTCTACCGGAGCATTTTAAAATTAAAGCTGCAATCCGTAGTTTGGAAGGAGAGGGGGAGGACACGCGGCTGTATGAGAGCCGTGGTGGGGGGGGGGGAGGGGAGGGTTCGTATCTTGCTAGCCCTCCTCCCACTCCGTTCGACGGTAGTTTCTTTTGGAAAAAAAGTTTGAAAAGTTTGGAAAAACTCCGAAAAAGTGGAAGGAACTTTTTTGAAAAAGGGCAGGAAGTGCAGAAATTTCCGAGAGCGAAGCAAAGAGGAAGGGAGATGGGAAAGAAGGTCATACCAGAGAGGAATGTTGGCGCAGTTTATCGACGGGGGGGGGGGGCATTTTGCTTTCCATAGATGTGTCGACCCATCTAGGTAGCGTTTTCTTGAGTTGACACGTTTTGGGATGGTGGCTAGACGATCCTGCTCCAGCTTTACAAGCGTTCACAAGTTTTACCAAAGTGAGATTTTGCAAATCGGAGCAAGGGAAGCCAGCTGGCTAGCTACAAAGCCCCTCGTCGAAAACAGCCGCCAAGGAATTCTGATTAGAGAGTTTGTAATTTCCAAAAAACTTTCCTCAAGCTGTAGGGCCCGTCCAGGAAAAGGCAGAGACGCCACGCGCAGCCCCCCTCCCCCCATTACGTTTAGAGCTAAAATCCCGTTTATGAATGGACGCTAACCTATTGGTTGTGAAAGGCCTCTCGGTTCTGTCGTTTTCCCAGTTGAGGCTTAGGCTTAGAGCGCAGACGGGGGTCGTCGAGGGATAATTCCGCAGGGATAGTCTCCCCTAAGGTTAGGCCTTGGTTTGGTGAAGGAACACAGAGGCGCTGTCAAGGTTCCCTCCCCTCCCCCCCCTCCCAGCTACTAAACGTAATCTGGGGCGGGCTTCGGAATTTGAAGTGAATGAAAACGGTTGCGAATTGTAAAATCTTTTGGACTCGTGAGTGAGAATGAAGAATATGAAGAATAGGTGGCAGAGAACTCAGGCTGGAGCTAGTTGGATTAACAAGCGCTGCGCGTGACAGCATTTTCGGATCTCCTGAACTACACTAACAATCCACTCTAACAATTAGGTAATACTCACGTTCCGTCTCTCAACGTCGTGGCACCATAGCCATTCTTGGTGTTATTCGCCCATTCGCCTTGATATCGTAGTCCGTCGGATCGTTCACAGACTCCGAAACCACTACGTGAGTCATTCTTCCACTCACCACTGTAGAACTCTGTCACATTTTCATCGATCGGTTCTTCCTGGAATTCGTGTTTCCTTCAAGAAAGTAAAGTCTCATATTCAAAAGAGGAAATACAATGTGTCGGCGAATAGTGAAAGCCGCTGAATATGTCCCTGGGGAGCTACTCCCTCGGCCGTCAAATTGGGCGAAGAAAAACGATCATTGACCAGTAAATGGAACGGCTCTCTGTCTCAGTCTTGGCGCAACTCCAGCCCGGAACTTTATTGCTTTTTTCGAAGACAATCGCTTTGCAGAAGCAAGGGCGGCTGGTCCCAGGCATAGAGGATACTAGCACTTCCTACCTTAGCTTCTCTTCATTGGTAGCACCTGACAAAAACACAGTAAGAGTGGTGGAGTCCTGTAAGTCATCGCGTGGTGGAGTGATGTATCTTATGGTAAGAAGAAATCGAGTCGCTGTATGGCCTGGGAGGGGTATTTTGCACTTTTGCTAGTTTGCTTCGATAGTTCATGTTGTAATAAATTCCAAGTTAATGTGACAGGTAAACTCTTGTGAAGTTACGAAATGGTGCAAGTGAGCTGCTCTGATCACAAGACTTCAGAGGTTTTTACAAGGTAGTATGCGTCATGGGGTACCACTTGTTGCCCCCACCACGCCAAACTGCGCCGAAATCGTCCAACGCTGAGCATCAGCCTCCTAGCGGTTGTGCTCCTACCAGTACAACGATGCACTACAGAAGCATAGGACGGCTACTTGGCGCCAGACTGATGACTGCTTTGTCTGCTAATGCGAATGGAAATCGCCTCGTTATCCAAAGCCAAATATGAGGCCGCTGCAATTTTAAGGGGCGTCACGCGAAAACAGAATGGGCGGAGACGTGCGCGAAAACAGGTGTCTAGAGCGCTTAAAACGGCAAAAAACAACTTTACAAACAAAAAATGGTTACCACCAGGACAAATACGGCCCTTTCTTTCAATCTCTTTTCAGAAATGCTCCCCCCCCCTCGATGAATACTCTCATGTTAAGGTGTCACTAACACCCACTGACGAGCCGCTCGCTCTGCACAGCGGTGCAAAGCGGTTTGCCCATGGCGCACTGCTTTGTCTCCGCCTACACGACTAGCGCGGAATGTGCCTTAGAAGGAATGAAATCCTCCGATCTTATAGCAAACGAAGGTAGTTGTGATCATGGCGTGTTGGTTTTTTGAGTAGCCAAAATCCCGTGACCCAGCTTCCGGCACTAAAAGAATTAGGGGTACAGTGCCCTTGATCGATCAGTATTTCCAGTTCCCCCCCCCTTCTGATAGTTCCACAAGGGTTACCCTAGCTGATCTAAAGCATTTAAATAATTAAAGGCAAGCATCTCTGCAGGTTCAGAATAGCGAGGAATATGTTCCAGCTCAATGTCCCACTTATCTGTTCCTGAAGCGCTTTCAAAGGTTGTTATGTTGTTTTGCAAAGGCTGGGGGCTGGTTGTTGACTCGTTGTAAACATGGGCACCCCCGCTAAGTCGCACGGACTGCTGTGCACTAACAAAGCGGGCTAAATAACATTTCGGGCCAGCTCTCTGCCCACTGAATTGGCTAAGCGGCCAAATTTCTAGAGTCTGGCTTTGTGTGAAGCTATTAGAAGAAGTCGCCACACACATATCCCCTCAGCTCTGCGAAGGACAGCAAATCTACGACTATTACTCGCGTCGCTCGGAGGGCCAGCGAATGCAACGCAAACACTCGTTGAGAGCCCTCTCGAGTAGCGTTACGTCCGTGCTGTGTAATACAAACGTCGGCGCCGAGCGCGCGCTTTGCCTCCTCAACCACCTGCCGCCGCTCAGCAGTGCATCCCGAACAGAACCCATCCTCGTCTGGGGTCAACATGGACCGCACACGGTGGGGTTGGTAGTCGGAGGAGGGGGGAGGGTGAGTTAAAGGCAAGTTGTACAATAATCGGCAAGGCGTAAAGGGTAAGTACGCCTAGCATGAAAGAATATTGTACTCCTTAGCCGGGCGCTGCACGGCGCCTTTTTCATTCAAGAGCGCTGTTATCGCCTAATCAAGGTGCAACATGCCGACCCACACGCCCACCGCAACCGCCCGCCCACAAATGGCCGCCCAGTCACATCGACGCTGGTACTGTTATGCTTCATTCATGAAGTGCAATTAATACAAAGCCCTGCTACATGGATATATGAGTCTATGTGCAGCCCTATCTATCAAAACGGTTGTTGGCACGATGCCAAAGGGAACTCGTCCAAAAAAAGCTCGTTCAATGCCAAGCAGAACAAAAATTTTTTTGCAGGTTTTTTGTCCTTAAACTTCATTTTTTCGTCATTTTCCCATTAGAAAGCCTCTTTGCTGGGATTTCAGAGCAAAGCTGCTTTTGGCGAATTGCCGTGCCCCATGCCTTTAAGTCTTCAAAGGGGTTCGATCTTTTTGCATGGACGGGTGCATTTCTAAGTGAACAAAAGTCGAAGTGACGAAGGGCAGCAGTGGTCGTCGAAGCTGTGCGCGTATCATTTCCGCTGGAAATTCGAGCCGCTCGGCTCTCAGCTCGGATAAAGAAGAGAAGAAAGCAAATTGCGCATCCAATGCGCCCTCTCGACTCCCTCACACTTACATTCACACACACCCCACCACATTCATTCCCCTCTTTCTCCCAGGGAACTGTGTGAGAACGAGGTGACGAGGAGTGCTGGTAAACAGGCGGCTTCAAAGAGCAGCGATTGCACTCATGTAAAGCGCGCCCACAGAGGCGCTGGGCTCACCTCAGTGCTCGTGTAGGACTTGTGGTGATGATGAAGTGAGTCCTCAGAAGTGCAACTCATCGTGCTCCCACTCGAACGAAGGCTTCCTAAAAACATCAACAAAAATCGGCCGATCGATATCAGCGCAAAGGTGAAAAATAATAATTGAGAGAAAAGAAACAAAAAAAAAAGAAAAGCAGCAAGCGATTAGCGAGGCAGGAGCCTTCAGAAGAGCCCGCCTGAGTTAGCACAACAGCTCCGAATAGCCTGGACCGTTCGGAGCTGGATTGTGTCTATCTGAGACGCTGATCCTCTGGGCCCATACATACACCGCAACACACGCACACAAAAAACATGTGGGAGGGTTAGACGGTGTTCAACCTCGCTTATCAGATCCTACCGGTCCTACTTGTGACTCGTTGATGGATGTCGCCCGTCGAGTGCTGCTTCTTTATCCGGAAGTCCAGACAGGGCTCGTCCGTTTTCACGGCAATGATCCGTTTCGATAACGTTGACCTGCTTAACAAAAAACCTAGCAGATTCTCGCTTTATTTCGAAACTGCCACCACTTTCAATGTGCGGTCGGATGCAGAACAGAAAAGAAGCTGTGAAAGCATCGCCTATACAAACAGATGTTTCGCCCTTTGCGGTTTTGTTTTTTTATCCAGGCGATAAAGGGATCCTACATTGGCTACACCACTCTTACTCAAATGTGATTGGCCTCCGGGTTGGTGCTAACTGAGTCTTCTGTTGGGCAGGGGCACTTGCCAACGTCTCGGAGACTACTGCCCGTTTAGACCAAAGCTTCTGCTACTGTACGGCCATGACAGGAGTCTCACAACGATCTCCATCAGAAGGCATCAGCCAGAATAACGATGGCGATCAACAAAACCCCCACCAAGTCGAATGCGCAAGTTGTCGTTTCTTCAGTTGGCCGGCAACTCGGTTTACCAGACTTCACGATACAACAAAAATCGTTTTGCTTTTCGCGATCAGATGTCCCATCCCCCCTTCCCCCCCCCCCCCGCCCCCCCCCCCCCCCGAAGTCTTTGGGTAGACAGGATCGCACTCAAAGCTGCCACGATCCTGACTAACAGTGGAAAGCATGGCGTGTCCAAGAAAGGGATTCTGCCGCGAGCTTAGTTACTTTTGCGTGTGGCTTAAATTGTGCCACAGTGGCTGCATGTCAAACTCATGCCCACTCCCACTAGGACGTGCCATGCGTTCATCTTCTATTCGCATCCTTAGGGCGATTTGTGAAGAGTTTCTGACCAGCGCCCAATTGACATGACATGTCATTCATGCTATCAACATATCTAGCCCACCCCGAACCAACGCAGTTCAATTGCTATGCCAGAAAACTACTTGTTCGCTTTTTTTACAGCTGGAAGTGCGTCTTACAATGTAGGAATGTAAGGGTAAATCGGCCTCTCTGGGCGTATAGGAGTCTGGAGGTCACTGAGTGAGGCAAAGGAGTAGCAAGTTAGGAGGATGGGGGGACAGCTCAGAGCAACTATCAGACCAAATGCTTTTCTCCGCGGTCAGGTAGGGGTAAATACAACGCAATTGAAATAGAAAAATCAATAATCGGAAAAAATTCTCTCGAGGCTAAGTACGACTCCTTCCCAAAGTGGTTATATACGATCAGGAGGGGCAGGGGGGAAAGTTCGTTAATTCGAGGAAAAAAGAAAAATCCTGAGAGTGGGGTCGTGTATTGCAAAACTTTTTTCCCAACGGCAGGATGTGCCCCGAATACGACCCCTTAGTATGATTCGCACAGTAGGCCCTAGACTGGTGAGCTAGACTTCATCAGAAGCGAAAAGTTTAGAGGCCAATCCCTCTCTTATCGGTTCAGCTTGTCGGGACTAAAACAGGGCCGATTGGTGCAGCAAAAAATGGCGCGGCTTACTACGCGCACGGTCCGGGAATCAAATCAGTCCGGATTGATTCCCATCTGGGCTAACCAAGCCTTACGCCCTTCCGTGGGCGGTAAATTGGTGCCAGGCTCGTCTATAACAAAAAAAGGCTGCCTTTTGGATAGGCTATCCCGCAAGTCATTTTATCGGCCAAATCGCATTAAAAGGTCCTTACGACCTTGACTAAAAGTAGAAAGCGTGGCGCATACCAAGAAGGGAATGATCAACGCTAAAAATTCTTGACTTTTTTACAGCCTGCAAAGCCATAATTTAGCATCTGTGTGGACTGAGAAATGTCTGCTCGATCTGGTACAACTGGTGAGCCCTGATATAACCCCTTTTTTTAAAAGTGTTATAAGTAAATGAATTATTTCTTACCTTCTCCGCCTTGCTGGTGCATTGCTGTTCGCCTTCAGTACAAATCCACTTCGCCCATTATGTTGTTCTTCTAAAACGCACAGATATATACTCCTTATCCCTGAGATGGAGAAGGCGTGGCCTTTGAACATAGCATGGAATGGGTTACTCGTAAGATATTTGATTCCGAAACAACTGTCATCTTGCTCTGTGTTGGAAAGAGATACGACCACAAGATGAAAAGATCTCTGCTAAAGCACAGTCACTACTAAGTTCAGTCGAAGTACGCAGCCACGCCTACCCCATCTCAGGGATTTCGAGTTTAACTGATAAGAATTTTCGGTGCTGTTCGGCTATAGGGGGGGACATTTTGCACTTCAGCTAGTTCCTGAAGAATTATATGCTCCATCTTGCCGAGATCTGTAGACACTTGTCAAGCGTGAAGGGAGCCCTTGCCATCGCAGAGCTTCACAAGAATTTACAGGTGTCCACAAGAGGCATGGGAACCAGCAAAATGCCCCCACCGAGCCGATTTGCGCCCCAATTTTCAGATTTCAAAGCATGAAAACCCAGCCGCGACTGACTTTCTTCGTCGTCTTCGTTCTCCTCATCACCTCGACCACTTCGTAGACTTGTCAGAGAGGCATGCGTATGTGATTTGGGCCGAAGTTTAGCCGCTTGTCCATGTGTGGCACTACGCCTGGTGCCATAACCATGGCGTAAACCGCGTAACCATTGGCCCTGATAGTTGCCTGGAATGACGAAAAATGAGGGAAAAATTGCAATTAGATCAGCAAATGACGAGTACGAGATTGATTTATCGAGGTCTATTACTCAACGGAACGCCACAACTAACTGACAGCATACACCATCTGGACAACTGTCTCTCACGATGTATAGCGCGCTCATGAACCGCTACTTCACAATCAGTCAGTCATGACAGCCACAGTAGCAGGTATGTGGGTCCCGAAAAGAAAACAGAAGAGACTTACCACCATCCACGTAGATCTCCGTCCCATAGCCGTCGTGTGGTATCCGCCAGACCACGTGCCTTGGTATCGGGCTTGGGAGGTGGCCGAATTTCGGACTCCGTACCGTCCTTTCTGACCCTGTGTCCACTCTCCTCTGAAAATATGGTTCACATGATGGTAAGGGCTTGTGAGAATATTTTCGCGAGCGCTGTTTGGCTTGGAGGGTGCATTTTGAACTTCCGCCAGCTCCCTCTGTTGGTTCATGTTAACCAAAGGTTCCACTTTGATCAGACTTGTGAACTCCTGTGAGGCTACGAGATGGTGCAAGTGAACCACTTCACTTCGATCACAGGAATTTACAGGTCTGCACAAGCTTAGCTGAGTGCTACTCATTGCCCCCACCAAGCCATGCCGCGCCTTTTCGCCACAAAAACTTACTTATAGGTCCATCGCCCCCTCTGTTCTACACCTAATCCATGTCGCTTCCCGTTTTGCCATTGACCATGATATGTGTTCCCCGAGGGCCAATAGTAGGCTCCAGACACCTGTAAAAATAAAATAAAAATAAATATTTATAAAATAAGGGCTTATTAGTCGCTATTTAACCAGCCTCGCACCTCGAAACCGTAGTGCCAAGCGCCTGCGTATTCGCCTTTTCCTTGAGGACCGGAACACACACCGTGGCCGTGAGCCTGAAAATAATCACATCGATTAAAGGAATTTTTAGATAAAATATGAAAAAATCAAAGTTGAACGTACCTTCCCCTCCTCCCAGCCTCCCACGTACGTGCCCCCATCATCGAAATCAAACCGACCGCCGTTCATCTCCCATTGGAAGTTAGACACCGATCGATACGATCGATAGGTGAAGGGCGACGCCGATCAATGAATCGAGAAATCGATTAGTAGATAGTCTCTCCCCGAAAAGACAATCAACGATCGATATCTGCGTACCGGCGGAAGTCTCGGTGGTTTACCTGGAAAGATGATCTGGATGGATTAAAAGGGATTTGATATCGGGGAGGAAATCCGTGACGAAGTGCTGGGGGAAAGCAATCGAATAAACGAGGGCCAGAGTCTCGGGCTCGAGACAAATCCTCACAGCCGATAGATCAATAAAGTCGGAGCAGAAGATTACAACGCACAATATGATGGGTGGGGAGTGTGTGTTGGGAGGAGAAGGGATGGGAAGAAGGAAAAAAACGAAGAGACGAAGCCCGAGTGGGAGGACGATGGATGCTTATTCCTGACAACTCTTTATATCCTCGAGTTCCTATAGAGCCCTGGTCAAGCCAAATCGGAACCCAGAAATCGTCCCAGGGTACATAACCAGGTAATTTGCGAGAAAAAGTACTTTTATAGTGGGCACCACCAGGTAATTTTCGGTAAAAAATTATCTAGAAAGTGGGAAGGGCGAGATGGGTGGAATTTGAGGGATAATCAAATACCACCCACGGTCAACTCTGTCCTCATATGACTCACATAAGTAAATAAAACAAGTACGAGAGAGATTAATGGAATGTGCAAGCTATTGAAAAACAATAACATAACCCACAATCCAAAAAAAATCGAATAACAAGCAATAAAGAAGCATCTGGGACTGGAGCTCCCCCAGAGTTGGACCAAAAATTTGACTTTCCAGGGTCCATAGGAACTTCCAACTAGTGCTTTCCGGAGCTCCCATCTGAGCTTGCCAACATGTCCATTTTACCTGGGCCAAAATTTTGAATTTTCAGCGCCCATAGGAACTTACAAGTAGTGCTCCCCTGTGCTCCCATCTGGGTTAGAGAATATGCCCTTGAGAAGAGACCAGGTAGCTGTAGTATCCAAAAAAGCCCGAGTTATGTAACGGTAAAGAGATCTGACAGCTAGACTTTCTCTCGCTGAAGAGGGTCCAGAGGCGCTTTTTATGTCATGTCGTGTGGGTGGGTCTCTGAAAGAAGAGGAAAAAGAAAAAAAATCACGAAAAAAAGAAGCAAGAGGAAGGGAGCTTTCGTTGGTGACGGGCATCCTGAGGCCATATTCCAGCAAAATGGGCATGGTACAGGGTTACCCAAGGTACTCAGAAACTACGGAGCCATCGGGATTGACGGCTATCCTTGGGACCATATTCCCATAAGGTGGGTATTTTGAGGTATTCCCAAACTCTCAGAACCACTGCCAACGCTTTCAAAGAAAGGTAGTGGGATGGTGCAAAGAAGCTAGGGGAGCCCACAAGGTGTCGGAAAATGGGCGCCGGGTCCCATATTACTGAAATAGTGTCGAGATGGAATTGAAAAGATAACTTTTTGGGGAAAAAACGAGAAAAAAATTCAAATAATCAAAATAAGAAGCTGAAATCATAACAATCCAAGAAAACGGCCTAGGAATCGTTGGATGGCACAGCACACCAGCCAAGTGATCGCCTGAGGTTGAGAATTCGTGCCAATGAGCCCCTTAGGTCCAACCAAGACCCTGACTGATCGCTCTTTGCAACCAGTTACGTAGGAATCTGACAACGGCGCGCGGGCCAGGCGCATAGGCCGGCTGGCAGCGCTTCTGCGCCGGTGTGTGTGTGTCAGCTGTTCGTTCGCCAACTCGAAGTCGCTGTTGCTGCTGCTACTGCTGCTGCTTGCTCGCTGGCTGGCTGACTGACTGACTACTTCGATCCCTCAAACCAAGACATGTTTATTACAGTGCATGGAATATTTGAGATGTAACTCGACGAAAAATTTGAAAAAAATACCCCGCTATCGGCCGTCAGAATTTGCAAAGCAGCCTGAATAATCAGTAGGCAGGATAAATTCAGCACCAGTTGTGGGGAAATTCTAGGTTAAAGGTCCCAAAAAAGACCAGAAGGATAATTGAAAGCTGCATGCACGGCTAGATGACATCAGTCTCCACTCCAAAGATCACTAGCGCCAGACGGAAGCGATTGTGAGCGTCGGCAGTAATGAGGTCCAGTGAATCCAATACAAATGGGGGGAAAGATATAGAACAACTAGGGGGCAGAAGATATTCAACAGGTTGCACACGGCGAAAGAGAGGAGATTTACTTTCAATATAGGAGAGCGGGTTTCTGAGTGGGAGGGCGTTAGTTGAGAGAGGAGAAGGGCACCCAGGAAGAGTGGGCAAAAAGAGCTCGGCGTCGGTGGAGAGCGCTGAGAGACGGAGGTGACTGAATGGAGCGAGCCGCGCTAGAATAACACAATTTCGCCGACGACAACGCTACGAAGTGAAGCTGTGGGTGCTCTTCTGAAGCTCAGGGGGGACAGAAGCCATGGAACCTCACGACAACAACAAGAGTCCATCGGCTATAATGAAAGTGACATAAAAGACGATTGAGATCGATGAGCTCTTCAGATGAGCCACGAGGACGACAAAATGACAAGGCGACCCACGAGTGGAAGGATTTTTGCGTGGGCGGATTGTAGACGTCCAGAAAACAATCCAGAAGAGCACGTGGACCGCCCCAGCAGAGAATTCAGGCGCAGAACAGCGCCTGAGGCGGCGGCGGCTATGGTGGCTACTGCAAAGAGGATGCACTCCATGAGGCCGATTATGAGTGTGAGATGAAGCGCTCCCCGAGGCATTCATCCCACTTCATCCTCATATCGGTTCGCAATTGCGCCATCTTACTCACCTCAACTCACCTGCTCAGAATGACGTGTAATTGCGTGGATTAGTGAGTTTACCTGAGAGAAAAGAACTGATTCATCGTATGCGGGGGACAATGACGCACTTCAGTGGTCTTAACATCTTCCCAGAAAGAATTCAAGGGCTCGAAAGTTTGAGATGCGAAGTATCTTGGCCCGTGATGAGAGCGATGCTCGCCTAGCCTTAGGTGACTGCATTCCAAGTTTGCGAGGACTTGATAATTAGTAATTTTCGAAAAAAGGGTAAGAAAAAGGTATAAAAGAACATAGTTGCATGCAATCGCTGGCGACGTCGAACCAGGCACATAATCATTGGGGTTTCCCCATTGAGGCGAGAGAGGGAGGGGGCATAATTAAGAATGTTTAGTTTTTCGCCCCCTGGAAGAGGGGTATGGGTGCACTGATGGAGTGGGAAGGGGGGTGACATTTAGAAACTCCTTGCGCAAAACTGATGCTACATAAAGGAGATGAGAGATTTTAACCAAGCCTAGGGAGGTAAACAGGTCCAATGAGGGTGAACAAACATCTTTGGGTGAAAAGATCTCATACATACTATCGTTGGGAATTCCCCATCTACTCAGGGAGGGAAAATTCAGTAATTGAGGATTTGGCGTTGTTCGCCTTCACGAGAGGGGGAGGGATGTCATTTTGAGGGCTCCGTGTGAGGGATGATACCGACTATGCGCAAGGAGTCCTTAAAATCCGCCTCCCAAAGGCCAACCGTGTCGAAAATCTTTGCTGATTTTTTCGTTTCAAGTGTACTATAAATCACCTTTTTGAGACGATCTAAGCTTGCAGCGGACATCGTCGTCCCAATAGGAGGGGGGTTCGATATTTGGGGCCGGGAAAAACTATCTTGATACTTGATTTTTTTCTCGCTTCATGGACGTAATTATGTAAAAGTTGCGGCGAGGTCGTACTTGGTCATCTTTTGGAGGAGGAGGTCCGGATTTAGGTTTCGGCGTATGTAGGGCAGCGAGCTGCTGTTGACTTCTCGCTTCTCGGAAATATTCCTGTTTCAATGCGTAGTTTCTCCCTTCCCCCCCCCGCTTGACGGCCTCGTTCGATGAGAAGGACAGAGGGCGAACGTAGAGAGGTGTGAGGCGTCGTTACCAATCCCCAAAAGGTGGGGGCGTCATAACAGTACTCGTTCAAAATTCTGGGCCCAACAATGATGGTGTCCCTGTAAGGCTCTGAATTTGTGATCAATTCTGAAGAACGGTCGGAAAATTTCTCGACGTCAACTTGCTCTGGAGAACCAAGAAAAGCTGCGCGGGTAGGGTATGAGCTTGGGAAAGGACAGTAGGCGGGATGAGAGGATGAAAGGGTCTCTGTTGTTAAGATGAGATTTCGAGGAATTGCTCCCGCCTATGCGAAATTTTTCCCAAACGGTTCGGACGTTGCAAAACTTACTGTCATATCAAAAGTCTATTGTGCTGTCTGTCTCTTGGAATGATTATGGCGGAATATATTGTTTTATTTCACATTTTGCGAAATTTTTCCCGTCGAGGTGATGCGACCTGGCCACGGAGATGCAGTGAGAGATAGCGGAAGTGTAAATGACTCATAAACGAGGCCGCTCATTATTCCGTGTGTGTCCCAGGGAGACATTAAGCGTTATGGCGTATAAACTCCTAAAGTTTAGGGACGATTACTTCGAGGAGAAGCCTCCTAGTCATTTTTGAGACGGCGTACACAGAAGGGCGGTGGTCCAATTCCCCCCCCCATGCCCTAACGACGAAAATTTTGCGAAAATTTGGGAAGATGGATAGTAGGTTGCGAATGGAGGGGGGGGGAGAGGTTGCACCGGAAGGGCAGTTTCGGAGGAGTATACTAGCTCGATAGAAATTTTTTTCAATTTGGTGTCTTCTCTTTCTATGGTGCTATCTTCCCTCACCCCACCCCCTCAATAAGTGATTTTCGAAGCTACCTTTTTTCATCGGTTGTCTTCCACTCCCTCCGTGCTCGGAGCGAGGCGGGAACTTTTGGTGAAATTAGGGAGTGGAAGGTCGCTCTCTAAATGGTGGCGTGAGAAATAGAGGCAGAATTTATTATTGACACTGGGCATTTTATTTCCTCGATGTTCACTGTCAATCATTTCGTCCCCAGTGGGTTACCCTGACCCTTAACAACTCAACCAGTAAGCCTACTAATCACTGTGTTTTTTCTAGCACTTTTTCGGGCACTCGC